CAGGAGTGACGTCACCTCGCCGTGGTCCGGGGCGGCGGAAGAGAGCCAGCATCTCCGCCCGCGACCGGAACCTGCGACGACTGGAGAGCAACGAACGGGAGCGGCAGAGGATGCACGGTCTCAACGACGCCCTGGAGGTAAGTTTTAGCACTGTGGGCTTTAGAATCCAGCGCTGAAATGTCAACGCCAGCGACGTTTTAGTTAGATAACTAAAGGAACACAGAGTCGCGAGCAAAACAGTGTGTGGGTGTGTGGTACTTTAGCCGGGTAATCATTCTTGTGTAGCGAAATGTCGCCAGCAGCTTCAGGGAACAAAAGGTAGGACGGAGTCAAAAGATTATCTCAGAGCGGCTGAATAAGAGACAATGCAAGTGCTACAAAGGGGCGGGAAGCTATAAAACTGTAAGCTTTTCATGGAAATGATTTTGAATACGTCATAGACGCTTTTTTGTTGATAATTTATTGAAAATTGACGATGCACCATGATACCCATACTGGTCCAAGTGCTCTTAGGCTCAGCTTTACAGGCAATTGTTTATCCCCAATTCCCTGTGTTTCAAGTTTTCATTCCCGTGCCTTGTTCGATGTTCCTTTTCACTTGTCTTGTTTTTGTATACCATTATCAATTACGTTACATGTCATAGTATCATTCAGCCTTTACCTTTGTGCCAAGCAACATAAGCAAGTGCATTGCGTACGCTCTAACACAAAACTTATATTCATACTCATTACTTTTATTACTGTCCCCTAGAAAAGAAATCATGGAATGCAATGTAATTTGATAGTTATCTTGAGCTGCCTGAAGTTTCCCACAGGTTTCCTTATAGGGTTTGTAAAGAACACCCAAAATAAGTACTTGGCCGGTATTTCGAGAAGTTTTCAGCCAGAGACACACATTCATGTATTTCCAGCCCGTCATCCATTCACGGTAAATGACTGCCCGCTGTCATTTCAGTGACAGCTGTCAACCCCTGAGAACCAGCCGTTGAAAAATAATCATCGCAAATGTTTCTACGACTGGCCACTTATCTCAACGCTCGTGCGATATTTTATCAGGTCACCACATGCTCGGCACAGATAATCAATCATTTTCGCAACCAATTTCTGACAGTGGAGATTGCCTCAAAATGAATGAAATTCCACATCTGAGAACCACCTTACTCTGAACCGGGTGGAAGTTCGCAGTAGCTTGTGAAACGCCTTGAGATTCTGAACAGGATGTCTCGACTCTAGTAGGAGTCAATGTGTTTTATATTAGATTGGTTTGAGCGAGTGCTCTTCTATTCGCGTTCGGAAGAAGCGAATATCCGTACGTGGAGGTTTATTTCCATATCGTGTAGAAACGAAGATGCGAAGCGGCTTAAGGGCAGGCATGGATGATTTGAGTTTTTTCTCGCATTTATGTATAGCATGATGTTCAAGGATGAGACCACCAGCTCATGGTTTGAAGCCGGCTAACGTGCCTTAAATAACTATACCAATATCTATACAACTCGGGCCATAGATGTTCATCGGGACCCTCTAAAGCGATTTACCTGGAATAAAACCTGAAGGCTAACGTCATACCCAGTCATGTTTAAAAATGACTGCCATCGGGGAGCTGTCCAAATGTTACCACATTGATTTTGCATAATGTGGGAAAACATAATTGCAACTGCAAGTCACGTATAACTTATACGCTGAAAACACGCAAGATGCCTCCGTAGCCATATATAGCTATAAGGAATATAGGAATATTCCTATATATTGTGTGTTATCCTATATTGTGTGTATATTATATATATATTATAATATATATAATATTATATATATATTATATATATATTTATTATATATATATATATATATATATATAATTTATATATATATTATATATATATATATATATAATATATATATATATATATATATATATATATATATATATATATATATATATATGTTTCATTGTAGACCAAGGAGTTGTGAGCTTTAGCAAGCTTTCAAGAGCAAGCAAGCAGACCTTTAGCAAGCAAACCAAGAGATAGATGACGAAATCAGAACTTACCTGGACAGGGAGATCGAAAAAGGTAACATGACAAACGGGACAGATGAGACGAACGGTGCAAACGGGACAAATGAGAGTAATGGGACAAACGGGACGGACGACACAAACGGGACAAACGGGACGAACAGCGGTAGAAAAATCCGAATTTTCTACCGCAACCAGATGTCAACTGCATATAAAATAGACGAGCGAGTTATTAGAGACATCATATATGGCCATGTAAAATGCGTTGACGAGAATGACCGTTTACTATTGGTCATTTACTACAGGAATAGTAAGACAAAAGACCTGCTCATACGAAACAACACACACAGCAAAAATGACAAGTTGAAGTGCACCAATGTAGTTTATCGTTTTTCTTGTCCTTTCGAAGATTGTAGGCTTCGAGATATAAGCTACATCGGTGCTACAACTACGTCACTTTCGCGACGCCTCACCATGCACTTGAGGGATGGGGCCCCCAAACAGCACATGAACCAAGAACACCACACAACACTCACCAGAAAACATCTCACAGAAAACACAGACATCATCAAAACAGAACACAACAAATATAGACTCTTCATTGCTGAAGCCTTACTCATTAGACAGCACACACCAACACTCAACAAACAGGTCAACTCATGTGTCACACTAGGCCTGTGGCGCTAATCCGGACGTCAAGAACGATGTGTCCGTGTGATTAGCCTTGTATGTGACTAGTCTAGTCACCCGTACGTTGCGCAATTCCTTCTTAGGTGATAGGTATTTTTTGTGTATATGTCTAAAAGAAGTGGTCTTACCCCTATTCACGAGACATTTTGTCATGTATTATGTAAAACAACTGCATCTGGTACTGTGTTTTTCGATTCGTGAACGATTTGTTTGATAATGGTTTAGAGACAATAAACCGAAACGTCACTTATTTTTAACGATTTTAACGATTGTGTGACTCATTAATGAGCAATTTTGGACAACTAATATTTGGTCTTCCGTCTGGTACCAAAAAACTGATTCGCACTATAGAAAGAACCAACCGAAAGCTTGCTAAAGCTCACAACTCCTTGGTCTACAATGAAACATGTATCAAAGAAGATATTCTGCCAAAATATACCAATATATATATATATATATATATATATATATATATATATATATATATATATATATATATATATATATATATATATATATATATATATATATATATATATATATATATATATATATATATATATATATATATATATATATATATATATATATATATATATATATATATATATATATATATATATATATATAAGCAATATTCCTATATATAGGAATATTGCTTTAACATTTAGTGGGTACTTACAAGTCATGTACTGAATATCTTGGAAATACCCAGGGAGCTTCAAGTGTTAGAGAATGCTGACTAGAAATTCAAACGAATCCAGCTAAATTCAACAGCATGACCTTTTTGTTACTAATGATTTCTTCCTAAACGTGTGAATAAAGTGATATTTTCAGCGACCAATTGTGAAAGGATGGGGAAAAGAATCCGGAAAGAAACGCTTTGTGGTTGTCTGGATAAGCAATGTAATAACTTTCAAACATTTTACTTGCACACGATAGCACCCGCTTAATGAACAAAAAAAAAAACAAATTCACAAACGAAACTACTTCCCCATGCTGTGTTTAAATATTTTCTGAGGTGACCCACACGAGGCTGCGAATAGCTTTGTCATGTCTTGCAGGCAGAATCGCACATCCTGAACTTAGAACCTCGAGAATTCGGAGCCTCTGTAACTCGGCTAAGTTGTGTGTTTAGAAGGTATCCAGGGTATTGCAGAGCTTTGCAACTCCAGAGCAAGTACCTTACAAAGAGATAAATGAGGATAAGAGAGCAGCACTGTTTGTCAAGTGTTTTTGTCTCTCCGTGTTTTTGTCCAAAATGTCGATGCGGAAATTCCAAGTGTGTTTTAGCGCTGTGATCAGTTTGTATCGTGCAAAGGGAGCATTATATACTAGCATTGTATGTTTTTTTTTAGTATGATCGAACATAAAGAATATAAAATTGTCCGCCGTCATCAAGCTTAACTCTTAAACGCAAATAGAGCAAATAAAGATTCCATCCCGGAGCATAACCAAATGACGATTGCGTCATCCCAGTTACTTCTAGATGAAACAGAACACAGCATTGTTTTCCAAACTATTCTGCCGTCGTTGACCTTTTAAGCTGACTCTGCCGGATATGCCATTAACCCACGACGGTCGTCAAACTTTCCGATGACATTTGGCGATGCAGTCTCTATTTTGAGGAGGTTGAACGTGGTAGCAGGTTCAGGCTGGACACTTGCTCTCGGCCAGTGGCGTATATGCTTGTTTGGTAAAATAAACCCAAACTCGAACCTAGGTTACCACCTTCTAAAAGAAGTAGATATTAAATGGCATAGCATACTAATAAACAATGATCAAATTTAAAATTTAGTTGAAGGGGATGCAACAAAACTCATAGCGTAAGCATCAGAAACGCATGAATTGTTCCGTTCCAAAGCCATATGAAAGCAGAGACTGTGTAGACTTAACTCATGTCATCCTGTAACAAAAACAGAAATTAGTAGTCTTAACCCGCGCCCGGCTGGGGGTCCTGGATTTCCACGCCCTGCTGGGGGGGTGTTTGAACACCCCCCCCCTTGTAACTCGGCTCCTGGGCCACGTAGCGATACGCGGAAGGCGGCGTTCGGAAGAGCGTCAAAAATAATGACGAAATCACTTCAGTCAATTTTTTGGTCAGGTCAAAGGTCAGGTCACCAGAGGTCATTGAAGGCAAAATTTCGCCGATTTCCAGGTCGAATGTCGAAAATTTCCAAGAAGCCAACGCATAACTCGGGAACCAATAGAGCTAGAGCACCGCGGAAAAGCGCATTCGATAGCCCTATTAACGCCCTTTCTGAGTAATTCTCTCAGATTTGACCTAACGTCAGCGGTTTTGCCTGCAGGGGGCAAAAACTGCAAAAATAGCCGATTTTTTCGGAAACAGTTTTTCTGCAATAACTTTTGACCCAAGCCCTGTACGAGCTTACTTTTACCGGCATCGTGTTCCTCTCGTCAAGACGCATCGAATGA